TAAACCTTAAGGAAGCAGGAGGAAGGAACTAATGATTATAGGGTGGAAATTAATGAAAAAGAGAATAGAGAAAATAAAAAATTGGTTATTTGAAAAGATCAACAATACTGACAAAACTTTTGCGGAATCAACTGAGAAAAAAGAAAACTGAAATTATTAAACTCAGGAATGAAAGAGGGGACATTACTACTGACTTTACAGAAATAAAAAGGGATTTTAAATGAATACTGTGAACAAGTGAATGCTAACCAAATAGATAACTTGGGTGATAATGGACAAATTCCTATAAGATACAAACTACTGCAACTGTATCAAGAAGAAATAGATTGTCTAAATAGACCTATGACAAAGAGATTGAATAATAATTCTATAAGTTGGGCTATTAAGTTAGTTTGTACAGTGTCTATCATATGTTATAAAAAAGCCATGAATAAGCTAAAAATGTGGGTTTCTTTTTCAAAAACACATTTTAAATCTTGAGTTCTCTTCTGAAGCATTATTAATAAGATGGTAGGAAATTAAGAATTTGACAAGATGAGACAATATTTTGTAATTATAGGAAGTTGAAATTTAAAAACCCATAAACAAGAAAAATGTTTCTCATACAAAAGAGGAAGAAAAGGGAATAGATGGAACTGCAAAATTTCTTTAGCATGTACAGGTGTGTGTGAAGCGTCATCACATTTCTTTCTGGTCTTCCTATTTCTAGCTCCACAGACATTAACATCAGGCAATTTTCTAACATCAGGAAAGCCCAATATGAGCTTTCCTCATCCTCTTCATTTGGCAGCCCCTGGGTCTTTCTTTTATCTGTATAGAACAGCAACTCAAAGAACTCTATTCAACTTTTATTACTTGCTTGGCACCCAGGACTATGGATGGATTAATGAAAACACTGCCAGCTAGAGGGTGTAAAGTTTATATAATGGCAAAGGATAAGGGGAACTCAGAGGCTATTCCACAATGCAGAAGACAACATAGCTTGCTCCCAGTTATAGCTTCTCAGATTCTCAGAGTTCTTTCTCTACTGTAGGTAATACCAGGTGTGGGAAGTGAATGATTGCATTTGTATGAGAGACTCCCTGACCTGTTCTCATAGGTATTTTAAACAATTTTTTTAAAGTTTAAATTACACTACATATAAATGCTTGTATCATCTATTAAGCTTGATATATTTTTTGCAAACTGAACACTTCCAGGGTGTTTTTTACAACTTGTACTCTCCTTTGCCTGATTTTTCTGGAAACTCTGACTGATGTTGAAGCTGAAACTCCCAATACTTTGGCCACCTGATGCAAAGAGCTAACTCATCTGAAAAGACCCTGATGCTGGGAAAGATTGAGGGCAGAAGGATTAGGGGAAGACAGAGGATGAGATGGTTGGATGGCATCACCGACTCAAGGGACATGGGTTTGGGTGGACTCCGGCAGTTGGTGACGGACAGGGAGGCCTTGTGCTGCGGTTCACGGGGTCGCAAACAGTTGGACACGACTGAGTGACTGAACTGAACTGAACTGGTCTCAGTTTGCCTGCAAAGCAGAACAACAAATACATTCCTGAATATTTACTGTGAAATGGGTATTTCCCAGGCTCATCCCTCAGTTGGCCAACATTTCAAGCCTGTTTAATACCATTCCTCCAACCACCTTTTCTAATTACTTCAGTTCCTATCATCTCTCTCTCTCCTTGGTTCTTGGTTGCTGCTGCCGCTGCTAAGTCGCTTCAGTCGTGTCCGACTCTGTGCGACCCCATAGACGGCAGCCCACCAGGCTCCCCCGTCCCTGGGATTCTCCAGGCAAGAACACTAGAGTGGGTTGCCATTTCCTTCTCCAATGCATGAAAGTGAAGTCGCTCAGTCAGGACCGACTCTTCCCGACCCCATGGACTGCAGCCCACCAGGCTCCTCCGTCCATGGGATTTTCCAGGCAAGAGTACTGGAGTGGGTTGCCATTGCCTTCTCCGGAGTTCTTGGTTACTCTCGACTAAACATTTGAGTAATCCTGACTCACTAATTCACACCTGTTCTTTTCTCACTGGCTTGTATTTTGAGAACATGTATTGCTTACTATTTAATTGGAAAGTTAACTTTCCTTTAAATGTATCACTTAAAATTGTTTACTGTATTCCCCAAATAGCATTATTATTATAAGGAACAAACTAGAAATTAATAATAAAATAGGATTAATTATTGACCACAGTTACATATTAATAATTAGAGCAAAATATAAAAAATATTCAAATCTTTAAGATTCCAAGTCAAAGTTCCAACTATTAGTCCTATAAGGTAAGATAACCAATTCACTCATATGATCAAATATCTCTGTAAATTCTTACAATGTTTTTCTAGTATATTGACAAGATATGTTAATTAACATCTCCCAAATTGTAAAGTTGTAGACTAGAGACCAGCCACAATAAAGCTTCCCTCCTTGAAATTCTTTTTCTTTCAGACCATACTGGGCTTGAGGTCTCTATGCTGTTACTGGCCTGTGTATCAGAGGTTTCTTTTACATATTTCACTTGAAGAGTGTTATAATCAATCTTACCTATCAAATTAGTGAAAACTTTAAAAAAATTAATCTCTCAAGAATGTGGAGAGACAGGGACCACCATATGTTTCTGAGAGTTAAAACCATACAACCTCTCTGAAAAGCGAGATGGCAACTATTTACACCCTGATGCCGAGTAATTCCATTTCTATCAATTTACTCAGCAAACATCACTGAAGTAATTATGTGCAAAGTCATTGTATCCAGTATTATTTACAATAAGCACAAAAATATTGAAACAACTGGGAAAATGCTAAATAAATTATGTTTCTGGGTCTGTGAACCATTAGGCAGAAAAAATGATTACACTACTAAGATATTTTAGACATGGAAAATGCTCAGGATACAAGTCTAATTTGAAAAACATAGTTTACAGGTCTTTTTGTAAAATTATTGGTATTATTCATGAAAGTCTGAGTGGCTTGTTTTTTAGTGGTGCGATTATTAGTTATTCTCATTATTTGTAGTTTTTATGTTTCCATAGAGAGCTCTATTATCTATACAATGAAAAAGTTATTTTCAGAAAAATACTGTTTTGGCAGTACTTTGGCATGTAATCAGGTTTCAAAGTCTCAATCATAATGCATTCGTTAAAAATCACAAGAGTGTCTCAAATCATGAATTTTTATTTCTCCTTTTCTCTTTGTCTATTGTATTAAAAATCTTTTCCAGCAATCTCAGTTTTATGTTTAAATTTGAGTATTTTAGTTTGTGTATGCTTAGTCGCCTCCGACTCTGTGCAATGGCATGGACTGCAGCCCGCCAGCTCCTCTGTCCATGGAATTTTCCAGGCAAGAATACAGAAATGGGTTGCCATTTCCCACTCCAGGGTATCTTTCTGACCCAGAGATAAAATCTCTACCTCTTGTGTTTCCTGCATTGACCGGCGTATTTTTTTTTTCCCCACCACTGAGCCACTTGGGAAGCCCTTTATTACTTGTCAAATACGACTAGTTTCCTCGCTGAAGAAAACGCTACACTTTTTATTTTAATCTGAACATGGTCCTATACTGTGACATGTACTTAAGTGTTATACGCCTAGGAGCTTTTTTCTGGTCAATTTTTTTAATCTCAAAAGGGGTTGGCAAGACTACTTGGTAATCAATTACACGTGCAAACCACGGTGTAAGCTCCATGTGAGTTTAGGAGACGCTTGGAAACGCTAGGAAAAAATGCATATTGGGTTCACGTGATATCCAGAATAGCCTGGATATCGTTTTCAGCATTCTGCCTTGGAAAAACATATCTGACCACAAAGGCGATGGCAGGAGTCATGGACTGCTGAGCTCAGAACTGGCTTAAACAGAAAAGATCAATCCGGGAGACCAGAGAACAGACCAAGCAAGATAAATACAGCAAAGCAAGGAGGGTGGCTCAGTCAGTAAAGAGTCTGCCTACAGTGCGGGAGACCTGGGTTCAATACCTTGGTCAGTAAGATCCCTTGGAGAAGGAAATGGCAACCCACTTCAGTACTCTTTCCTGGAGAATTCCATCTGTCCATGGGGTCACAAAGGGCTGGACACAACTGACTAACACTTTCACGGAGGCTCAAAAACAGCTGTAGTAACTGTAGTAGTAACTGTCCCTTTTAAAATCACATTTCTGGACTCGCTAGACCTTGGGACCTCAGCTTCCACAACTAGAAAAGTTTTTCAACGGGTGACTCGGACAGTTCAAGCGTCTGCTACAACGCGGGAGACCGGGTTTGAACCCCGGGTTGAGAAGATCCCCTGGAGAAGGAAATGGCAACCCACTCCAGTACTCTTGCCGGGAAAATTCTGTGGACAGAGGAGCCTGGTAGGGGTCGCAAAGAGTCGGACATGACTGAGTGACTTCTCTTTCTTTTTCAAAGGTTCTCTGCCAGAATGGACTCATCTTAATCCTAGAGCCAGAACTCAGAGACCGCCTCATTACAGGGCGGAAGGGCGCGCATGCGCCCCGGCGCGGACCGCCCCCCGGTGGGCGGGGTCTGTCCTTTTGCCTCTTGGCGTCCGCCCGCGCCAACCACGCCCGCCTCACCTGGGCATCACGTGTCCCCCGGCGCTCTTAGCGCACCTGAGGGCGGATCCCTGGCGTCTGGGGTCTTCGACCTGAAAGGAACAGTGCCCACGGGCCAGTTTAGCAGGAGCGGTGGTAGGTACGGGAGCGCGGCTCGGGTCAGCCCGCCGGGGTGTCTAAACCCTTGGTTTCTCGGCGTCTGGTTCTAAGCGCGCGACCGGGACCGGCTAGGATCTTGACCAGAGCGAGACACTGTTGTGCAGCCTCCGCCCGGGAGCCGGGGGCCCCTCACGGCGTGAAGTGGAAGTCCCAGTTCCCCCCAGTCCCTTGAGCCGGTGCCCGCGCCCCAGAAGGCCGCGCTCCCCGCCGGCCGCGTTCCTGCCGCGGGTCGCTCGGTCCAGTGAGGCCCAACTGGCTTTCGGAGTTGAGCAAATCCTCGGCCCCCAAGTAGGTGTGGGGGAGCAGGTCTCTGGCTTTATGTAGGAGGATTCTTGGCACATTTCGGGTTGACTTTGCGATAGACAGGGATGCGAATGTTCTCACTGGAGAGTTCATCTAGTTTGCCGGGAGATTGGCGCGTCGGCAGAGGTCTGAGTGGACGCCCACACCCCAAGCCAAACAAACTTCAGCTGATTGCGTCCCTGCTCTTCAGATTCTAGGACCTTGAACTTCAGAGAGAGCTGAGTGGCAGAAGGGTGAGGAAGCAAAAGTTTGTTTGGGAAATTATCTTTGTGCACTTGCACAGTTGAGATTTGGGACTTCTCCAGAAGACCACCTGATTAGGTTTGTTTTCACTGCAAATACCAGGAGTTTTGATGGTCTGTTTGTTTTTTAGACTTCTTTGGAGTTTGTTTGAAAAAGAGGCTGAACTTTTGACATCAGAAATGTTGGGAAAGCCTTGTTTCATCTATTTGTAAAGATTTCTGTAAATAATGTTAGAATAAGATTAATTTTACAATTCAAGGTACACCTGTCCCTCAGGGCTGATTCTAGCCTCGTTTTACATCATTTTTCCACTTTTTTTTTTTTTAGTATTAGTACCTTTATTTTTATTAACAATTCTCTGATTATTTCATATTGTATGCATATGTAATGTTTAAAGGCGGCTAGAACTCAACTAGATTTGGGGGAAAATGTTAATTCAACAAATATTTAACCATATTAGGTGCAAACACTTTTACATGCTGTGGATACTGAAATGAGAGGTACAACTTTGGTGCTTAGTAGGTTTTGGTGGTTTTAGTAGGGGAAGACACATGAATAGTGTCAGCTGGTGGCAATGATTAAAATAGGTGACGTTCCAGCCTATAGAGGTGCTACTTTAGATTAGGAAAGTCACTGGAAAAGGACACTGAAATTGAAATTTACATGAGAAATTATGTCCCAGAAGCCGAGGCATGAGAATTTAAGCTTAAGAAAACTACTTTGTAAAGCTCTTAGATGTTACCATTTTGACTAGGGAGGCTGGAAAGAAGGGAAGGAGAGGAAAAGGGGAAGGAGTTGAGGTCTGAGAAGCAGATCATACAGGGTTTGGTAAGTCTTGGTGAGGAGTTTAAATTTTATTCTGAATTTATAAATTTGGTCTTAGGTGCAGACAGGCTAAGTCCACTTTTTTTTGGGGGGGGGGCACTCTTTCTTTTGGTTTCCTTAATTTATTAGATTAATTCTTCACCTCAAATCTTTTATGTCTTTTTATTCTTTGTCATACAAGATGACATACCGTGACATGATAGCTTTCAACACTGCCACTTAAATTGACGAGGAAACCTTTTGTTTGTTTTATGAGTTAACTGTAATAGTTCTACATCTTAAAGGTGAGCAATACTTTTGGCTCCATCCTATGGAAGGAGCAGCGAGAGTTTGTTAAAGTAGTGAAAAATCTTTTTGAAATTAGCAAATCTGGAATTGAGGCAGTGTTGAGTACCAGTTCATAAAGGGAAAGTCTTCAAAGGTGAAATAAAAACCTAGAGTTTTGAATATACAGTGTCAAATCAGTTTGAAGTTACTTGACCATGTTCTTTTTCAGGAGTTATGGAACTTTATTGGCATGGTGCTGGTGATTGTGTTTATCTTCAGCAATTATAATCTTAACATGTTTTATTTCTCTCCAAATTATTCTTAGCCCAGGTATAATTTATTGTCTTTTAAAAATGTGAATGTAGAAGCTTTTGTTCAGCAAGTTTTTAAATTGATTTTGGCTCTTCTATATTGATTTGAGTTGTATTTATTTGATTCCTAGGATGAAGTAACCTTTATCTAAACACTGCAGGGCATTTTCCAGTAAAGAACATGGTGAAACTCCTTCACACATTAGCAGATCATGAGGATGATGTCAACTGCTGTGCCTTCTCCTCTTCCCTCTTGGCTACTTGCTCCTTGGACAAAACAATTCGCCTGTACTCCCTGAGTGACTTTGCTGAAGCGCCATACTCGCCCTTGAAGTTTCACACCTATGCTGTCCACTGCTGCTGTTTCTCGCCTTCAGGGCATATTTTGGCTTCATGTTCAACAGATGGTACCACTGTCCTATGGGATACTCAAAATGGACAGATTTTGGCGGTGATGGAACAGCCCAGTGGTAGCCCTGTGAGAGTTTGCCGATTTTCCCCAGACTCCACTTGTTTGGTATCAGGGGCATCTGATGGAACTGTTGTTTTGTGGAATGCGCAGTCATACAAGTTACATAGGTAAGACTGTTTAAACCCTTTCCGTTTTTAATCCTATTACCAGGTTTACAAAAAAAATTTTTGATGACTTGAAGAAGTAGATAATTCAGACATCTCAAAGAAAAATACTTTGTCTCCTGAAGGTCATAAAGCAGATATTTAATATGATTCTTGAAGTAGATTTGCTTGGCTCTGAGTGTTTTAAATTTCCAACTTTTTTTGGTAAAATAAGCGTTAATCTTGGTGGAACTTTATGGATTTTTTAAAAAAATATATATGAGGCAAATAAAAACACCACAGTCTTTTGAATAAAAGCTAGTGATTTTTGGCTTTTTGGTCACACATGGCTCAGGTGTTCTCAGTAATAAAATAATTGTAGGTGAGTCTCACCTGCACAGCTCTTTCGTGACTGGGATTATTGACCAAGCCCAGAAGAGGGAACCTCGTGATTAGTATGGTGGTGTGTGTTACCACTTCTTTAAAACCATCACCTGAAAAACTGCTTTTGGATAAAAATACATCAATTAATTTACACTGGTTATGTTGGGTTGCAACATAACCCTAGTATTAAAACCATGTGTTTGTAATCTTATAGTATGCTAAAATATATATAATATTTTAACAAATTTAAAGTGTACAGTTCAGTGACATTAATCACATTAAAAACTGTAAACTTTTAAATGTCACCAATTAAAATAGCTTAATGTGGCTTCCCCCCTCCCTACCTCTCACCAACACTCAGAGCACAGATGGTAGCTGGTAAACAACTGTTGCTCATTTAGACTTTTGGTCTTTGGGTTGAAGAAAGTATGTTTTAAGTGGCGTTAATAAACAGTTTAAAGTGAAAACACAGAGAGAATGGAATGCCTTTAAGTTGTTTTGGGTGAATGAAATTTAGCTGTCGGCCAAGAAATCTTTTTCAGTTAACCAATTGGTAAATTGTCTCCCTAACGTTATTTCTCTAATATATGTAATTATGTGAAAGTAATACACGCAGTTGATTTAAGCACTGGATAGGACACTGCATGGGTTGTTGGATTTTTAACAGGTTATTTTTCCTAATAGATAAAATAATGAATTATTGTTAGCCCAGTACTTCCTAATCTTCCCTAGATAATTTTAAGTTGTTCACAGCATTTTCTTTACATAAAGAATTTATAACTGAAGGTGAGATGAAAGTCCTTACTGTTTCTAGATGATTTTAATACAAATGTTGAAAGTGCTTTTCACCCCCAATAACATGCTTTTCAATAAAAATAGTTTTATCTTTTAAAAAATTGCAACTACAGTCGATATCGTTGGTTGTTGTTGCTATTTTTGTTAAACTTTGTCTATTTTAAAGAGTATGAAGATATATAGACTTTGATTTGGTTAGGATAATGTTTAAATTCTCTTTCTTTTAGCAAGCCTATCTCAGTTTATAGCATATAAAGGATATTTTATTTCTATAGGCACCTACTGCCCTTTCTCTCTAGTTCTAGCCATTTATCCTTTTCTTTTACTATATCAAGCTGCTTTTAGAGACTGTAATATAAGTAAAAGATGCTCTGAAATGAAAATTCCCTTTTCTTTTGCTTTTATTTCAGATGTGCTAGTGTTAAGGATGGCTCCTTAGTGGCCTGTGCGTTTTCTCCTCCTGGAAACCTCTTTGTCACAGGCTCCTCATGTGGAGATTTAACAGTGTGGGATGATAAAATGAGGTGTCTGCACAGTGAAAAAGCACATGATCTTGGAATTACCTGCTGTGACTTTTCTTCACAACCAGTTCCTGGTTAGTTATTTTACTCTTGTAAGCAATAGTAATTCCTGTTCGCAGTTTTTGTGTGACTTTTCATTCATTACTCATTTTCACTTCATCATTAGTAAAACAAGACCTTTTAATTTATTCCCTTCAAGGAATCATCCTTCTGCTTTATGTTTTTGATCAAAATGAAATCACAAATATTTTTTGAGAAAACCAGATTCTTTGGGAAAATACGTAGGGGCTAACACAACTTGACACAGTAGATCTGGGTTCCTTGAGTTTGGTAATGTAAAGGCCTTAAACCTATTGGTTTCAATGTGATTTTTGAAATATTGTATGTTTTTATTCAAATAGAAATGTGAAATACAAAAATTGGAAACAAGTTTCATTTTTCATTCACTATTTAATCTTTCAAAAGATAACCTGATAAAAGCATTTGTTAGTAGATTAGTTTTTAGAAAAAGAAGAGAACTGTTGACTGTAGACTCTTGGTTTTAAATAAATACAGTGAATTGGGAATTTGCCTTTTATTTTCATCTTCTGTGTTAGGATGGACGTTCTACTTCTGGCTACTTCAATCTTCCTTCCAGACAAGTGCTGTCCTGTAGTGATACAATGTGAGCTACATGTGTAAATTTTAAAATTTCTAGTAGATAAAATTAATTTTAGTAACATATTTTACTTTACCCCAATATACCTAAAATATTTCAAAATCCTAAAATTATTAGTAATATATTTTACTGTGTTTGGGTATGAAGTCTTTGAAATCTGGTGTGCATATTGTGTCACATCGCAGTTTGTGCTAGTCATGCTTCAGCCGTTCAGTAGTCGTATGTAGCAAGTTATTAATACTGTCTTGTGACAGCTCAGGCTTTGGTACTCCCCTATTTCAGAACCATCGGTGGCATGTTAAAATATGATTAAGGTAAGATAAAATACCAAGTTTCAAACACACAGCATTTAAGTACCTTACTCTGTTTCCCTGCCTCATTACAGGTCACACTTGGCCTCATGCATTCACTTGCCGCACTGGCCTCCTTTCATTTCTTGAATGTCTGTAAGATGTTTCTGAGGGTTTTACATGTGGACCCTTTACCTGGTTCACTCTTATTCATCCTTTAGATTTCAGGTTAAAAAAAAGTCACTTCAGAAGAGCTTCCCTTGCTCTTAACCTCCTGTACTCAGTCTGAATTATTTCTATATAGTCTTTTAGTTACATGCTTTATTTTTCTTTTATAGGACTTAGTGAAGTATCAGAAGTTTTGTTAAATAGCTGTCTGTATGAATTATGTTTAATGGTGTTTTTCCTGTGAGATGGAGAGCTCTGTAGGGTAGGCCTGGATGTATTTTATTTTCAGTGCCTGGAATGTAATAGGCTTTGAAAAGCAGATTTTTAACAATTGGGATATCATTGCTTCACAGTGTGGTGTTAGTTTCTACTGTACAGCAAAATCAATCAGCCATATACCCCTCTTGTTTGGAATTCCTTCTCATTTAGGTCACAACTGAGCAATGAGTAGGGTTTTCTGAGCCATACAGTATTAGTTATCTTTTATCCATAGCTCAGTAGTGTATATATGTCAATCCCAATCTCCCAGTTCGTCCTACCCTCCTCTTAACCCCGTTCTCCCCTTGGTGTCCATATGTTTCATTTTTGTGTATCTTTCTTTCTCTTTGCAAATAAGATTATCTACCATTTTTCTAGATTCCATATATATGCATTAATATGATACTTGTTTTTCTGACTTTACTCTGTATGATAATCTCTAAGTCCATCCACGTCTCTACAAATCATCCAGCTTTATTCCTTTTTTGTGACTGTGTAATATTCCATTGTGTGTGTGTTTGTGTGTGTGTGTGTACACACACATGCTACATCTTTTTTATCCATTCCTTTGTTGATGGGCATTTAGGTTGCTTCTGTGTCCTGGCTATTGTTACTAGTGCTGCAGTGAACATTGGGGTGCATGTGTCTTTTTGAATTACAGTTTTCTCAGGGTGTATGCCCAGTAGTGGGATGGTCGAGTCATATCATAGTTCTCTTTTTAGTTTTTTAAGGCATCTCCATACTGTTCTCCATAGTGGCTGTACAAATTTACATTCCCACCAACAATATAGGGGTGTTCCCTTTTCTGCACATCCTCTTCAACATTTATTGTTTGTAGATTTTGTTAGTGATGGCCATTCTGACTAGAGTGAGGTGGTACCTCATTGTAGTTTTGATTTGCATATCTCTAATAACTAGTGATGTTGAGCATATTTTCATGTGTTTATTGGCTGTCTTCTTTGGATAATGCCTGTTTATGTCTTCTGCCCATTTTTTGATTGGGTTGTGCTTTTTTTTTTAATTGAGCTACATGAGCTGTTTGTATGTTTTGTTTTTTAAAATATTTATTTGGCTGAGCAGGGTCTTAGTTGTGGCACGTGGGAGCTTAGATCTTTTAGTTGTACCATGCAGGACCTTAAACTTGCACCATGTGGAATCTAGTGTCCGGGCCAGGGATTAAACCTATGCCACTTGCATTGAGAGCGTGGAGTCTTAGCTGCTGAACCACCAAGAAAGTCCCCTGTTTGTATATTTTTCAGATTAATCCTTTATCAGTTGCTTCACTTGCAAATATTTTCTTCCATTTTGAGGGTTGTCTTTTCATCTTATTTATGGTTTCCTTTGCTGTGCAAAAGACTTAAAGTTTAATTAGGTCCCATTTGTTAATTTTTGTCTTCATTTTCATTACTCTTAAGAGGTGGATCAAAAAAGATCCTGTTGTGCCTGTGTTTTCCTCTAAGAGTTTATATTTTATAGTGTCTGGCCTTTAGGTCTTTACTCCATTTTGAGTTTATTTTTGTGTATGGTACTAGGAAATGTTCTAATTTCATTCTTTACATGTAGCTGTTCAGTTTTTCCAACACTACTTATTGAAGAGGCTGTCTTTTCTCCTTTGTATATTCTTGCCTTCTTTGTCATAAATTTAGGCGATTGAAATGCAGACTGAGTAAGATTCCTTTTATTGATTTGTTGAAATTTCTTTTTTCTGTTTCCCTAACTTTTTAATATTATATGGCAGATTAGCAGTTTTCTTTTCATGAATCCATTCTTATACTGAACTCCCTACCTAATTTAATTGTGATGATTTATTTAATATATTGTTTTATGATGTTTTATTCTAAGAAGATCAGCTTGTAATAGGCAAGAACCATTTCTTCCATTCTGTGACCCCTTCTCCAAAATCTTACAGGCATTCAGTGAATCTTTGGATTATATCAACGTCAGGAAATTTAGGTTTCCTTTTTGATTCTAAGTTTTCTGAAAAGATTTTTCATTAAAATATCATTTTTGTGATACTATTAACGTTAAGGACATCCTTCTGTCTTCAGAGGGATTGCAGCTGATAGGTTCTGGAAAGGTTCACTACACTAGGCCGAAAATTCTAGGTGAGATTCTAAAGTAAGTATATTACCCACATCACTACTGTGCCTTTAGAGTATATTTCAAAGTATATTTCTCAATAAAGTTCTGATATGTCCCCTCTGTAGCTTCTTTAGTTTAACTTCTGTTAAAGTAGATGTTAACCTTATGTGTGAATTCCCTGAAACAGAATAACGTATGCTTTAAAGTGACTATTAGAGGAACTTGTGGAAACTACTATATTTTCTTAGACAAAAGATGTAATTTTTAACTTATTGCTTAATTTGGTATCTGTTAATATCTGTAAATATTTATGACAAATTGAGTCTTCTGCCTTTGTGACATTTTGCTCAAATATGGAAAAATAATACTGTTTGTGAGCTAGAGGATAAATATTCAGTTCTCTCCAGTTTTTAAGTGATAGTGTTTGGGTTAGATTATTATTACAATTTAAATATTTTTCCTGAAGAAAAGTCATTTAAAAATATTTAGATCTTGAGCACAGGCATATTTTAAACTTTATAATTTTACATTGTCCTAGCTGAATTCTCACTATTGAAAGACACTGCAGAATCAACATCAAAGGATCTTATTAGTCTAGAAACAATGAGGAAAAAGTTTTCTTAATTGGGTCTAGCACATAAATAGTTTACTAGCGATTTTGGGGTATATCTTTTTGCCTTAAAAACATTGAATGATTGTTATAGAGAATTATATCCATCAAGATCTCTGAGAAAGGATGCCCTTTGGCTGAACCTGTGCTACAAAAACAAAAATTCTGTGGAAATGTGGAAAAGTCTCTTACAGTTAGAAAAACTTTCAGTGAAAAAGAAATTTTAATTTGTTGTATCTTGAAGTATATGTGCTTCCAACAAAACAGGGAGTCCATAGGAAAAGTTCAGTTTACATACCTAGGTGTATAGACTAAATACCACATACTAAATACTTGCAAAACCAGAGTGCAATCTTAAGATAGGTATTCAGGTTTCTTAATTGAGTTTTACTGTATAAGAGTGCTAAAACTTCCTTTGACTTGTGATATTAGGTGGAATTCATATAAAATTGAGTTGGCAAACTGGATGACCAGGGAAGTCCCAAATCTCATCTTTTTGCCTTTCCTCAGTTCCTGCTCTTGGAGCCTCTTATCTTCCTTGCCTGATTATAAACTCATATTTCCTCTGCTAGAGGCATGGTCTTTGGGCCCTTTTTCAGCAAGTGTCTGCTCTCCAGGGGACTGTAACTAGAGCAAGGCACTCACTGCAGAAGATGCCAGATTCAACTATTCAACCTTTGCTCAGGTCAGAATCACCGGCTACCAGTTAGCCCAGTGCCTGGAACACAGTGGCCCTCAAGATGTATGTTTAATGTGTCAGTGAAGGGCATGGGGGACCACATGCCACATAGATAAGATTGTCAGTTTCACCCTTTTCTTGCTGTGTGACCTCACGTACCTGGCTTTTCCTCTCTGGGCCTTAGCTCTCAACTATGAACTTGGGATGGTCATGCTTGCTGCCTTGTAGGACTAAATGTAAAGAGTTAGAGGTCGTATCTGTCAAATGCTTAACAGAAATATGCAAACAAGTGCTTAATAAACACTTGAAAGTATTGTTAAAAAATCAAGTAGGTGATATTAATATTTACATTACCCACAAGTATTTAGGAACTTATCTAGTGGGTAGATAGTGATACTCTGTCTAAATAGGATAACAACTAGTGGGGTTTGTTTTTTTTTTTTTGGTAACACCAAATTTAACTGATTACTTTGCCTAAGTTGTGTAATTGTTGTTTTTGTTTACTCCCTAAATTGTGTCCGACTCTTGTGACCTCCTGAACTGTACCCTGCCAGGCTCTTCTGTCCGTGGGATTTCCCAGGCAAGAATACTGGAATGAATTGCCATTTCTTTCTCCAGGGGTTCTTCCCAATGCAGGGATTGAAGCCATCTTTCCTGCATTGTAGGCAGATTCTTTACCACTGAGCCTGATTCTTTTCCACTGGAAGGACCTACTTGTGTAATCAGTCCAGTTCGGTTAGGTGATTCTGGAGCCCCCCAAAACAAAATCTGTCACTGTTTCCATTGTTTCCCCATCTATTTGCCATGAAGTGATGGGACTGGATGCTGTGATCTCAGTTTTTTGAATGTTAAGTTTTAAGCCAACTTTTTCACTCTCCTATTTCACCTTCATCAAAATGCTCTTTAGTTCCTCTTACCTCTCTGCCATAACTGTGGTGTCATCTGCATATCTGAGGTTATTGATAATGACAATCTTGATTCCAGTTTGTGCTTCATCCATCCTGACATTTTGCATGATGTACATGAGTTTGATTAAACTCTGGGGGTTGGTGATGGACAGGGGAACCTGTCATGCTGCAGTCCATGGGGTCACAAAGAGTCGGACACGACTAAGCAACTGAACTTAGCATACGAATTAAATAAGCAGGGTGACAACATGCGGCCTTGACCTGTTTCTTTCCCAATTTCGAACCAGTTTGTTCCATGTCTGGTTCTAGCTGTTGCTTCTTGAATTGCATACAGGTTTCTTAGGAGGCAGGTTAGGTGGTCTGCTATTCCAGTCTCTTCCAGGATTTTCCAGTTTATTATGATCCACACAAAGGCTTTCACATAGTCAATAAAAGCAGAAGCAGATGTTTTTCTGGAATTCTCTTGCTTTTTCTGGGATCCAGTGGATGTTGGCAATTTGATCTCTGGTTCCTCTGCCTTTTCTAAATCCAGCTTGAATGTCTGGAAGTTTTCAGGTCACATACTGTCAAAGCCTAGCTGGGAGAATTTTGAGCATTACTTTGCTAGTGTGTGAGATGAGTGCAATTGTGCAGCAGTTAGAACATTCTTTGGCATTGCCTTTCTTTGGATTGGAATGAAGACTGACCTTTTCCAGTCCTGTGGCCACTGCTGAGTTTTCCAAATTTGTTGGCGTATTGAGCACAGCACTTTCACAGCATCATCTTTTAGGACTTGAAATAGTGCACCTCCACTAGCTTTGTTTGAAGTGCTGCTTCCTAAGGCCCACTTGACTTGTGAAATACGTTTCACCAAATCTTTTGGACTGAATTGATGATATTTTGTGTGCATACATGGGTGCTAAGTTGCTTCAGTTGTGTCCAACTCTGCAACCCCATGGACGGTAGCCTGCCAGGCTCCTCTGTCCATGGGATTCTTCAGGCAAGAATACTGGAGTGGATTGCCATCTCTCCTCCTTGGGCTTTTCCCCACATAGGATTGAACCCACATCTCTTAAGTCTCTTGCATTGGCAGGTGGGCTCTTTACTACTAGCATCACATGTGTAATTCTAGCATTTGTCTTGATTAATCAGATGGGAAAACAGTCTCTCAGTATTCTATATAAATTATAGACTAACCTTTTAACAAGTGAATATATCCTAGAAAAAGTTAACTTGGGAGTAATTAAGCATTTTGCACATACCATAACTAACATCTTAAATTTTTTACATCAGTGCTAATCTCAGTATTTAAAGTTGCATTGGAGGGTACACTAGGCTTAGTGGCTCAATATTGGCCTTTTCAGCATTGAGTTACATATTTCAGTTGAAATGCTCAGTCGTGTCCGACTCTTTGTGACCCCATGAACCGCAGCACACCAGGCCTCCCTGTCCATCTCCACGTCCTGGAGTTTACTCAAACTCATGTCCATTGAGTCGGTGATGCCATCCAGCCATCTCATCCTCTGTCATCGCCTTCTTCTCCTGCCCTCAATCTTTCACAGCATTGGGGTCTTTTCCAATGAGTTAACTCTTTGCTTCAGGTGGCCCAAGTATTGCAGTTTCAGCTTCAACATCAGTCCTTCCAGTGAACACCCAGGACTGATCTCCTTTAGGATGGACTGGTTGGATCTCCTTGCAATCCAAGGGACTTGCAAGAGTCTTCTCCAACACCACACTTCAAAAGCATCAATTCTTCAGTGCTCAGCTTTATTTATAGTCCAACTCTCACATCCATACATGACTATTGGAAAAACTGTAGCCTTGACTATATGGACCTTTGTTGGCAAAGTAATGTCTCTCTGCTTTTTAATATGCTGTCTAGGTTGGTCATAACTTTCCTTCCAAGGAGCATCTTTTAATTTCATGGCTGCAGTCACCATCTGCAGTAATTTTGGAGCCCCCAAAAAATAAAAAGTCAGCCACTGTCTCCCCATCTATTTGCCATGAAGTGATGAGACCAGATGCCATGATCTTAGTTTTCTGAAGATTGAGCTTTGAACCAACTTTTTCACTGTCTTCTTTCACTTTCATCAAGAGGCTCTTTAGTTCTTCTTCACATTCTGCCGTAAGGGTGGTGTCATCTGCATCTCTGAAGTTATTGATATTTCTTCCAGTAATCTTGATTCCAGCTTGTGCTTCCTCCAGCCCAGCAGTGCAGCACTTTCATAGCATCATCTTTTAGGATTTGAAATAGTTCAACCTAATTCCATCACCTCCACTAGCTTTGTTATATCTTTAGTGGAAGGTAAATAAAAAGGTGTTTTGTTGTCACAACTTCAGGGGCTACAGTCATATAATCTTTTGAAGAACCTTGTTTAAAAGAAATTCTTTGACATTTCAGTTTATGGTATAAATTAATATATTTAATATTGCTTGTGAATATGGTTAAATGAATATATTAACAGACCTCAGTCTAAAGTTGAAAATTTTTTGGTTTAAATGTTTTATCAATTCTTGTACATTTATTTTAACAAATTTACATTTTTAGGTGGAGAACAAGGACTTCAGTTCTTTCAGTTGGCATCATGTGGTCAAGATTGCCAGATCAAAATTTGGATTATTTCTTTTATCCATATCTTAGGTATGTATTCACCTAGTAGTTTTCTAAACTGATTTTTTGTGATGCAGTTAAAGTTTCTGTTTTAATTAATCTTTTAACTTAAGGTACCCTAGATACCATAATGGGATTATAAAATGTATTTTAAGAACTTTTAATTAAAGTAATGCATACACATGATTTAGAAATTGTATGCACACTACCGATAATGACCTTGTCATTACCACTACACACATTGCTGCTTAACCAGAAAAAATTCCACTTTGTACTTGTTTTGTTTTCAGGTTTTTTTTTTTTTTGATGGTTTTCCATGTCCATAAATATTTTTTATACTACGTTTTAAATTCACTCAGTGTAGTTAGTTTTTGGAACTTGTGTGGGTGTTTCCACCATGCACTGTACCTTTTTTTTTAATTGAAGGATAATTACTTTATAGCCTTTTGTTGTTTTCTGTCAAACATAAACATGAATTGCACTGTACTTTTATTTCAGGTGATTCTACCATCAGAGAGCTTATGTCTTTCATTTTTGGTATTTCTTTATGCGAATTTGGTATTCATTTATGCTAATTCTTTAATTTCTTCTCCACGTCTCTTTTTATATTCCCGTTGAGTGGTGGGCTCCTGACTTGATTTCCTGTGTCTTTCCCTTCTGCCCCCACATTTATCTCTGTCTTTTTCCTGTCATAGGAGAAAATTCCTTAGCTTTATCTTTTAACCTTTTTTGAACATTTTAATCCCATCAATAATACTTTCAGTTTCCAAAAACTTATCTTTTTTGTTTCTTTTTCTTAGTGTCCTCCATTTACTTTATGAATGCAGGATCCTCTCTAAATTCTCAGGATACCAATTAGAGGCTTTTTGTTTTGGTTTTAATTTCTCTTTTGTTTCCCGATCAACTTTGCTCTTGGGCCCTTTTTTGTTTATCCTGATCTCTTTCATGTGGTTACCTTCTTTAACTGCTTGCTGATCCTTAGTTTCCCATTTACTTTCAAGAATTAAATAATAAGAAATTTAGGGCCTCTGTGCACACGGTGGTGGTTTGTACTTGCTGGTTTCCCTTTTGGATAGAGAGGTGGACTGTTGGCCCTTACTGGGAAAGGGTTGGGGGATTGGAGGATGTGGGTGTTTGTGTTGCCCTGGAGGTACCAGGGAGCTCCCCAGTCATTGTTTTACTTCTTCCTGGGGAGAAGCATCTGGCTTTCATGCAGCATACTATGGGTGGGGTGGTCAGAGAGGGATGGGAGATAATTAATGTTTCATAAACAGACCTTCAGTAAATTTTTTATGTTTTCATGTCTGTATCATTCTGACTTTCCTTTTCCTTGACTGCTAATAAGTCCTAAGTCTTTTGGGGTTTTCTGTAAATAATTATAAGTCTTTTGGGGTTTTCTAGAGAAAGGTAGCTTTCTTCTTGACTGTAGCCCCCTCATTTTGCACTCTAAGGTGTTACTTCTCTATACTTCCTCATTGATTAATTTGCATCTGCCTTCCCAAAATGGATTTTGGTTTCTCATTTCCTGATGACATTTCACAGCCTTCCCCTTTTCTTCATTGATGTGAATTTGTTTTTATAAATTCCTTCATTATCTTTTTATGGAAACTCTGAAATTTTTTGATCAGTTGGCCATCTTGCTTCAGAGGCCTAAAAATATTGTCACCTAATAAGTGGCAACTAAATCATGCCTTGTGTTTCATTGTTTATAAAGTCACTGTCAGAGATCAAGTTGAACACTAGTTAAAGTGATGGGACAGATTTTAATCAGTAATGTACTGTTGCAGTGGGGAAAAAAGTCCAGCATGAACTGAACTCAACTTCAATTTATACAGAGGTGACTGTGTATTTTAAAGAGGGAATAAAGTGCAGGTAAATGGGACCTGTGTGGCATCTAGCAAATGACAAAATTACAAAAATCAGGAAGCTGGGAATTGGTCCATATGAAACTCGTCTGGATTTGCTAATGCACTTAGGGAAGTTAGGTTCCTCCCCTCTCACAGAAGAAGGGAAACAGAAGCGGGACTGCTGGAATAAACAGTAAATTCTTTTGGCAGCCTTGAATTTTCTTAGTCCCCAACTGTAAGGGGACTAGGATCATGCTAGGAGTGCAACCTTAAGCTGTTCGAGACCATGTTAATTTAAGTCTTTGTTGGCCCAGGTCAGGGCCTGATCCAGGAGGCCACTCAGAATAGCCTGGGTAGTTTGGTTGAGAGAATCTTTGTCATTTTGCTTGTGTATAGAGAAGGGTCTGTTACCAGGAAATACATTTCTATATGTGGAAATTAGTTACTTTATTGCCTTTTAGGTTACATGCAGTAATTCTTTTAATGTTTTCAATGACAGCTGCTAAGAAGTGTTCTGTTATTTCTCTGGTTTATCCTATCTCTTTTAATATCGAAGTAAAAATTCTCTATAGAGAACCAAAAATATAGTCATGTATGTGGATGTTCTCAGTACAACGTATCTTTAGTAACTGTTTAGAAGTAAAGCTTTTCCTACATTTTCAGGAAAATGTCTTTACACTGACTCTATAAAAAACGTAACAGTTTATAAATGTGTAGTTAGAGCCTTTTAATAAAACATTTAGCATTATTTGCACCTAATCTTAATTGCTTGTTTGTAGGGAGGAGTAGATAAGACAAATGGGTCTTATACTTGAGAATGTGACCAATTTGTAGAACCTTATTGCAAGTTTATTTTATTAAATCTTCAGTTGTTTTGCAATTATCTTTGAAAGAGTTGTGATATTCCTTTTCAGTAATTATAGAAGGCATAAAAAGCATTTTTACTGCTACCATACTTTGTTGGGATTTTATAGGCTATATTAGAGTTTTAAGATACATAAATTACTATTTTTAATTTATGAAGTGAGAAGATATCTTAATCTAGATATTTAAAACTACAGGCATTTGATTCTTTTTAGGCATTTGGGCAGTTGGTGTATGGTGTGTGTGTGTGTTTAAGATACCAAGATTGAAGTATAGTTTAAAATTTTGATTCATTTAAAATTTTGAGTTTAGAATTTTTAAATTTAAAAATAATTTGATTTTAATCCCCTCTGTCTAGTGTTTGCTGACCCCACCATTTTCTTTACCCATTACTGAACTTCTGAAACCACTTAATTACAGTGCATTCCGATACTTGAGTTGCGTGAGGATTTTTTTTTTCCCATCTTTGTGTCCTTTAAACATTCCAAGATTTTATTGAACAAATAAAATAGTTTTTACTTAAAAATAAATTCTAAACACAATCAGCTTTCTAACTTTTCTCACCTTGTTATTTGCAGGTTTTGAATTAAAATATAAAAGTACACTGACTGGACACTGTGCTCCTGTTCTGGCTTGTGCTTTTTCCCATGATGGGCAGATGCTAGTTTCAGGGTAAGCTTTTTAATTCCCTAAAACCGTTTAGGTATGAAATACAATAGACTTACAGAAAAGTACATAAAATGTAAGAGAATGGCTTGATAAATCACTGTACTGCAAACTTGCAGCTGCTTACTCAGGTCAATAAATAAAACAGTGCTGATTTCCCTCGAATTCCTCCTCTTCCAAGTCTGCTTTCTGATGACAGAGCCTTAGGTCATGTGCTGCATTGCCTCTTCCTTTTAAATTGACCTAAAACCAATCACACAATATGAATTACTTTGTGTCTGGCTTCCTTTACTCAATATTACGTTTGTTTTCCTAGTGGTTGAGTGAATCTGATGTGTATGGGATGCGAAGTGGTTGTGCTCAGGTGCTTCAGTCATGTCTAACTCTTTGTGATCCCGTGGACAGCAGCCTGCCAGGCTCCTCTGTCCATGGGATTCTCCAGGTAAGACTACTGGAGTGGGTTGCCATTTCCTCCTCCAATGGTATGTGATAGGAATCCAATTTCATTTCTTTCCATAAGGGTATCCAGTTGTCCCAGTACAAAGTGAAAAGATAATCTTTTCTTCACCATTTTAATATGCCACCTTGTCAGAAATCAGTGATCATATATGGGTGGGTCTTTTTCACAGCCTATTATTCTGTTCTGTTTATCCTTGCTCTAATATCATTCTGTTATTCTGAGGCTTTATAACTTGCCTTTTCCTGACATTTGACACTTTCATGTGAGTTTTAGAGTTAGCTTATCATACTATCTCTCCAGTTCCTCCCTCTACACAAAAAAACCTGTTTGGAGTTTGACTGGGATTGTATTCAGTCTGATAAATCTGGGGAGATCTTTTATGGTATTGAGTCTCCACTCCATGAATGTAGCGTATTTTTTCACTTGCTTTTGATTTCTCTCGATAATATCTCTCAGTAGAAGATAATTTATTTGTCGTCCTCTATAGAGACCTTGGGGCTTCCCTGGTGGCTCAGAGGTTAAAGCATCTGCCTGCAATGCGGGAGACCCAGGTTCGATCCCTTGGTCGGGAAGATCCCCTGGAGAAGGAAATGGCAACCCACTCCAGTATTCTTGCCTGGAGAATACCATGGACAGAGAAGCCTGGTAGGCTACAGTCCATGGGATCACAGAGAGTCGGACACAACTGAGCAACTTCACTTTCACTTTCATAGAGATCTTCCTCATCTTTTGTTAGATTTAGTCCTGGCTCTTTTTTGTTGCTATTATAAAAGATGTGGCTAATATAGGGAAAAAATATATATGGAAAGGCAATTGAGTTTTCTGTGAAGATTCTAATTTTGAATTTTTTATATCTAAGATCATATCCTGTGTTAATGATGTTTTTTGTCTCTTCCTTTATGATTCTTGCCTTCCCTTGTGGGTCAGCTGGTAAAGAATCCACCTGCAGTGTGGGAGACCTGGGTTTGATCCCTGGGTTGAGAAGATCCCCTAGAGAAGGGAAAAGCTACCCACTCCAGTTTTCTGGCCTAGAGAATTCCGTGGACCGTATAGTCCATGGGGTTGCAACGAATCGGACGCAACTGAATGACTTTGACGTCACTTCACTTTGCTGAACTGGCTAACACTGCCAGGATGATGAAAATAGTGATATAGCCAACCTTGTTTGACCTATTTTGCAGAGGGAAAGCTTTCGTTAAGTGTGATCATTGTAGGTTTTAGGAGATAAGCTTTATTAACTCTTCTGTTTCTTCCAATTTGTAAGATTTTTTTTCATTATTAGGTATTACAGTTCATCAAATGATTTTTCATGCATCTTTTGAGATCATATGATTTTTCTTTATCCTATTAGTGTCATAAATTATGCTGATTTTTATAAATCTGGTTTATACATATTAAACCAGTCTTGCTTTGTTGGAATAAATACAACTTAGGACATACTGTTTTTGTGTATTGCTATAGGGAAGTCAGTTTTATTCTAACTGTAGCTTTTTGGATGTAATTCCTATTTTTTTCACTGGCTGCTCACACATTTTATCTTGCAGTTTTCTGCACATTTACTTTGTATCTAGATTTGGGTTTCTTTTTGCTTAGTTTGCTTAGAATTTAATAAACTTCTTAAACTTGTAGACTATTTTATCACTTAGGGGAGAAATTCTTACTATCTCTTCCAGTATTGCCTCTGTCCTTTTCTTTCTAATTCTGGGACTCTAAATGCACATAATACCTTCTCACTGTAAACTTGTCTCTTGTTCTCTCTTCTATATTTTTTTATTCTTTTTCTTGAGCTTTGTTCTGAATGGTTTCATCTTTACTGATTCACTCCTTAGTTTTGTCCAATGTGCTATTAAGGTGGTCCATTGAAGAACTCTTAATTTTTGGTTATTTTTTGATTCTCGAATTTTTATTTGGTTATTTTTCAGTTATGCCATGTCAGTTATGATTTTTAGGTCTCTGTTGAAAATTCTAATCTTGGCTTTTATTTTTCAAAGTGTTAATTTGTGAAGCTGTTTGTTTAGTACACAGTAGCATTATTCAGATCTTTCCAGTTTGATCACACAGGCCATAGCATTCAAACCCTCATTTGTGTCTCTTCACAGCAGTTTTGGCTCCAGCCAAAATATTTAAGCTTCTAACCTGTACTTGAAGTATTCTGGACTAAGCCTGATAATTCTTTCCTCCATGTGTTCTAATCCTTGACAATCAGCCACCTAATTAGATACATTGCCATTATTTTACATGTGAAAAACTCGTGAAAATGTTGATAGTTCATCATCAAAAAGTAGTTTTAAAAATTCTCCTTCAGCCTAGGATTGAAATTACTGCAAAGTTGGATTTCCTCTTACTGTTTTGGAAGATACATTATGCATTCTCTCTTAAGTTAATAACAAATTGGTTATGTATGAAATTCAAGTGTTTATGACTTTCTTATATGCCCAGTTCTCTGCCAGTTGCAATGGAGCACATAAAAGGAAGTATAAGACAATGTTTGTGTCCTTGAAGTTGTTTTACTTCTCTATTCTGATTTTTGATGTTCATAGTGACAACACTGCAAGATCCTAATGTGCCCTTACCCTCTGAATTACAGAAGTGTCAAGTGATGAACAATAATGTTTCTGTGTTAAGTTCATTTTATAGCATTCCTGTTTCTTATTAACTTGTGTACATATATGAATCTTTTAAAAATTTGTTTTTAATTTTTGGCTGTGCTTCATTGCTGCGTGTCGGCTTTCTCTAATTTTGGCAAGTGGGAGCTGCTGTCTAGTTACGGTGCACGGGGCTTCTCATAGCAGTGGCTGCTCTTGTTTCAAAATACAGGCTCTGGGATGTGAGGGCTTCGGTAGTTGCAGCATACAGGTTTAGTTGCTCCACAGCATGTGGGATCTTTCTGATCTCAAACCGGTGTCCCCTGCTTTGCAAGGTGGATTCTTAACCACTGGACCACCAGTGAAGCCCTATATATGTGAATTTTAATTAACCCATTATATCAACTAGAATAATGTACCTTTCCCAAGTCATTCTGGGTAAGTGGACTTTTCCATTAAGTGCTTTTGGAATTTGGTGCTGTTCTAGGCCACATTTAAATATTATTCTGGATGTTTTTAGTTTAGTTTACTTGGATAAATATATAAGCAGGTGAATGGGTTGAAAATGTAAATTAGTGAATTATAAACATTTAGTTTTTAGGAGAATTGAGAGATGTTTAAATCATACTTGATTAATGGATAGATAACCAGTTAACTGGTCAATGATAGATTTCATTTGTGACTAAAAGTCATTGGTACGATAGAATGGATACATATGATAAAAGAGGGAGTCAGTGGGAAAAAGCAATTAGGATAAAAATACATGGGAATATAAGTGACTAGCAAGAAAAAAATAAACAGAATAGGATTGTAGGACAGAAAGTGTACTAAGGAAGTTGTATAGGATATAGATTTGGCATGACCATGTAAAAAGCAGTATAGAATTTGTATATACAGATATTAGAGACTTGTGAAACAGAAAAGACATTGCAAAAGGCAGGAAATTTCTGAGTAGATTAAAATGTATGATAAAGAGGAGTAAGGGAAAATGAAGCTGGAAAAATAGGTTGTAGAGTTGATAATGAGAGTCTCTCAGTCATGTCCGACTCTTTGCAACCCCATGGACTATATAGTCCATGGAATTCTTCAGGCCAGAAAACTGGTGTGGGTAGCCTTTCCCTTCTTCAGGGGATCTTCCCAATCTAGGGATTGAACCCTGGTCTCCCGCATTGCAGGCAGATTCTTTACCAGCTCAGTCACCAGGGAAGAGACAATAGAGGATATCATTATCATTTCATGTAGTAGATTTAGGAGAACTATTGAAACTTTTAAAGCATGTCTAACACACATTTCTTGGCTGTGGAAAATGGGTGAAGTAAAGACATTGAATCATCATTTAGGACAGTAGTTCTCATTGCTTTTTGGTTTTAGGATTCCTTGACACTCTTTAAGTTATTGAGGGCTCCTCCAGAGAGCTTTTGCTCAATGTGTAAGGGTTACATATATTGCTATTTACAGAAAATAAAGCTAAAGAGATTCTAAAACATTTTTAATTTAACAACAACAATAATAAACTCATTGCATATTAACAGATCATTTTTCCTTAGGAGAAATAAAACCAAACATAGAAAAGTGTAAAAGGCACTCTTTTACATTTATGAATATCTCTTCAATATTGGATTAGTGGAAAGTACATAGATTCTCATATCTGTTTCACACATTTCATTAGCTCTCAGGGCTATGATGAAATCATATGTCATTGAGCAAAATGTGTAGGAACTTTTTCCCTCCATCTTCCTCCACATCTCTTCTCTGTTAATTTTCCTCTAGCCCCTTAGCAGAATTTGTATTTTGTTTCCTGCTTACTTCTCTTGATCCAGCCAGATAAAATTAATATTTTATGAATTAGCTTCTATTCCAGCAGGAAGAATCTGTCTTTGTAATCCAAATAGAGGCTGCCTCTACAAAAATTCTGTTCTAGTTGTTAGAATTCTTTGGAAATCAGTTTGAGAATGGCCATC